ATTGTACTCAATAAATTTTGGACACTCATATAGCCTTGTTTTGTACATTGAGTTTTTTTAGTAAAGGTGTTTTTGGTCATTAGAAGGGGTTTAGAGTCATCTACCTGGGAGGTGACATCACCCACATGAAGCACACTAGTGGCATTTAATTTTTCATGGGGGTGACGTCACAACCCATGTAGATAACATCACACCCCTCCTAATGTCCAAAAATACCTTATTAAGAAAAATACTATATGTGCAAAACAAAGGTATGTAAGTGTCCAAAATTTGTTGAGTACAATGATAAATTACTCCATAGTGTGAGCACCCTAACATAACCTATTTATTAAATGCTCACATGTATGAGTATATTACTTAACAACCATATATATATAGGAAAAAGTTTATATAAGGTTGCAACCTTATAATGTAGAGCTACGGATGCACCTCAAAAATCCATCGAAAAAGGTAGTTTTAATGTTGAAAAACCTTTTGATTGATCATCTCGACATCGAGATGTATGACCATGAAAAATAAAAAGATTTTAAATCTCAGAAATAGTGTATTTTACAACATATTATTTACACCTTCCATTTTCAAGATTTTCATATGTTTATAGGTCTACTTGATTTTAACCATTTTTTAAATTTAAAATTTTATAATTAGATATAAAAATTGATTTCGAGATCATACTAAGAGCATTTTCCATCAAAATTATATACCATGGTAAAATTTGAACACGCACCTTACCTCTACAGCTACGGATGCATCCGTATGCAAACTGCACCCATATATATATATATATAGATATTTATATATATACTATTTTGAATTCATAAAGGCCTAGATCTTAGAATTCACCAAATGGATGGTTTAAATCCATTGTTAGAGGGGACTCATTTGATTATACTTAGGGTGCCAATTGAATTTTATTTTTTTTGAAATTGAGTATTAGGATGAAAAGAGTGTGTGTAACATTTGAGGTCATAAAAATACTACAAACATGGTTTTCTAGAAGTGTGGTTTCATTGTATTATAATGACACCGTGATATTAGATCATTCGCCTATATATAGGGTGTACGCAATGCATATGAGCATGTCTTTCAGATGTATTGGAAATGATACCTTGAGACGGATGTAAAGCTAAACAAATAGCTTCTCCTCCAAGAAAAGAGGATGTGTAGGTTGTAAGAGATGTGAATCCTCTTGTCCAACGGATTTCTTGAGTGTATGCCAACTGGCGTATTTGAACCTCCTTTGTGCCTCATTCCGTTTGTTCCTTCCCTTCTCATCTCAGGCGTTGAGTTTGAGACTCCTTGGCCAGTTCATCCACCCTCTGAGTTTTTCTCTCTATAAACATACTGGATTTGAACCTCCTTGGTATCAATTTTTGCCAAATATGAAACATAATCTGCCGTAACTGCCACAGTGTTTTACGGGCATGAAGACACCAGTTTACAACATTCATGGAGTCACCCTTTGTGTTTGTCTCTGCAAGCTGTCAACACCAAGTTTGACAGCCCATAGTTCAGCCTCTACAGCCTCACAAGAGTGAATAGGTACAGAATATTGGAATATCACCTTGCCTAGATGATCCCTCAATAAGCCTCAACATCCTGACGGTTGGCCTCCTCTCGAACTGCCATTAAAATTCAATTTACCCTTGCCTTCTCTGGTTTGCCCTTGCCTTCTCTGGTTTGCACCATTGATTTGCTCTTCTAATACTGTGCTGTCTAAAGCATAGTTGTTGGGAGTGGGAGCCGGTGCAGGTATGGGAGCTTGGGATTGACCCTTGGCTGAAGCTCTGTACCCTTGGAGCACTGCATAGGGAGTGACCTAGGAGCGATCTCTCATATATGTAGTTGTACAATATATGTATACAAGAGCATAGGGGGAGCGCCCCATATGTATGTATGTATCTATGTGTGTGTGTGTATATTTGCTCAAAAAAATCCCTCTAGCTGTGTGTTTTGGAGATGAACTTTTAGTGTAGTTATGAATATTTTAGCTTATAAAGATGTTCACCATAAATTGACCCTCTTGAATTTGTGAACAACAAACTTGCAGGGATGTATTTTGTTTCTCGTTTGGTGGAGGATAAGAATGGCGGAAGCTTCTCATATCCTGAGTTCCTTGTACATATTCACAAGCAAATTCAAAATAAAATGGTGTGACCCTTTTCATAAGAAGCCGTTGGGGAGAAATTGTGGGGTTAGACTCGACCGTGCTCTGGTCTAAAAGGAGAGAGAAAAATGAAGAGCAAAACAAAGGCAAGCATTCTTTTCCTGTTGGGTCCTTTTACTTCATAAATTCCCACTAAGCTGGGTTGCTATTTAATAGAACATAGGAGATTTTTCTGTGACTGATGGGTGCGTCCAACAGTTGTAAGATATGGAGAGAGAGAGAGAGAGAGAGCCCGGTTTTTCCATCCCTTTTTTGTGCCGTTTTTTTTGTTTTTTCCTTGTCATGTGTCGGCTTTATTGCATTCTCATACCCTTTGAATTGTCATGAGAAATATAGAACAAATTTTGTATCTGATTGCGTGTATTCTTCCCTTTTGAACAACATACATGGGCATCTTAGATGAGTATGAGTTATAACCTATCGTCCGTGATTCATGAATCTGAATTTGCCATTGGTTTCTAACTATTCTCTCTAAAAGTAAGAGAACTTGTGTTTTTAATGTTTTCTGTCTTTAGCTCAGAGCACTTGCCCGTCCAAAATTTATATGATCTCCTTAGAATTACTGAACATTTTTTTCAGTCAGGCACCTACATTATGCTTATGATTTTTTATTTTGTTTATTAATTTAAATTTTTCTTTTGAGGTTGGTCATTAGGTTGAGGATGTGGCATCGTAGATAGGTTTTCATTTCAGAGAGCATATGATATTTTCTCCCGCTGTGATAAGAGGTTTTTTCACCCCAGATCTGTGTTTCTTCTCATAGATATGAGGTTTTTCAACCTAGATCTAACTTTTCCCTTTTCTTTGGTTTTGTTTCTTTGTGCTTTTCTGGTTCTTTCCTTTCCCTTCCCTTGGGTTTGTTCACTTCTTTCTCTCTCCATCTTTCCCTTCCTATTCCTTTTCCCACCCCCTCGCCCCTGTCTCCTCCGTTCCTTTTCATCCTTCCCCTCCACCCCTGCCAGCTATATTCGTGACCCGTCATGATTTATCTGTAGCTTTCGGCCTCCTTCCCCTTCCTTAACTCGCTTAAGCCCTTAGGAGGTTGACGCCTAAGACGGGTATCCCATTATTGGGAGAGTGTATCCTGTCGTGGGGTATTTGGCATTCGGGGCTTTTCCGGAGGGCCTTTACACCCCCTGTATTTGGCTAAAAAAGTTGACGTCTTAGACAAGGTTGGTACTTTTCTGTGCCTTGCATAGCCCTGTCGTGGTTTTTATGTTCCTTTGGAAAAGGCGGTTTCTTTGGGGTCTTTGAGATCTGGATTCCTCGCCTCCTCCACTTCTTTTGCCCATCTTTCCTCGATAGCTATCTAACATGACTTCCCTTCCAATTTCCTCTTCCTGCTCCCACTCCTCCTTAACCCTATCTTATAGTTGCTGGTTGCATGCCGCCGCCTTCTGGTGTGCCACTATGAGCTTCTGATTCTTATTTTGCGCGCTGCTACTCAGGGAGTTTGTGTGCTCTCTAACCCTGGCCTCTGAGGTGATTGCTTAAGGTATGGTATGTTTTAGCAGTGTGAGTTAGGAAAGTTGTTTGGGGTGTAGAGGTTGTTGTGGAGGACACCTGTGTTAATGGTTATGGAGTTTTAGTTGGGGTTGATTTCAGTGGTCATGGAGGTTTAGTTGGAGTTGATTTCAGTGGTCATGGAGGTTTAGTTGGGGTTGATTTCAGTTGGGGGTGTAGGATCCTTTCAAGGTTAGGGTTAGCGAGTGTTTGGTAATTATGGTCGATCATCTTTGCTGTAGGTTGTACCTGTGTATTTCTCTACGTCTTCCTCGTTTACTTATTGTACGTGAGAACTTTGCTCCTTTTATTAATAAAAGTAACTGTTAACATTCGAAAAAAAAGAAAGCAAGAAAGAGCATATGATCTTTTTTCATACACAAGCCAACAGAATCAATTGCCGAAGTCATTGAAGACCGGACTCTATTTATTTCTGTGAAATCTACCAAAATGCACCTTGATGAGCTATTTAACATTTTGGTTGTACAACGTTTTTTTTGGATATTGCGGCTCTATACACCTGTCCTTGAGATGCTCATTGTTGGCTCCATGTATATTATCTCTCGCAATGCAAGGTTAACAGTACAAGGAAAAAGAAAATTAAAAAAGCAAAAAATATTAAATAGATGGTAAGTAAGCTTCTTTTTGGTAAATTTCTCTTTATTTTAAAACAATTTAAATTTAGGATTGCTGTATATGAGGTAGGGCTGAAGCAGGGAAGTTTATCAAGTTATATCTATGATTTGAACTATTTAACATCTTATCCGTACTTTTGATATTAGCTTTATCAAGTTATAGCTATGATTTGAACTATTTAACATCTTACCGGTACTTTTTTTTATCTAATATCAAATTGCCTATGGAATGGCACATAATGGATTTTCAAATTTCTCAAAATACACTTGGGGTAAAATATTAAAGTGTATTTTGATAACTTTTCTGCCAAAAAAGCTCATGAATGAAGAAAGTTTCAAATCTCCTAATTGCTCCTAAAATTTGATAGTATGTGCTCATTGATGATGAAAAGCAACAGATTTTCAAGGCAAATGAAAGTAAGTGGGAAGCTTAGCATTTTTAGTATTTATCGGAAAAGACCATCTGATTGAGAAAGAGGGTTAGAGATGGAACAATGTTTTCTTTAAAAAAGCATGCTAAAAAGATTATAGGTTCCCAAGGGAGTGCGACCACCATTTATGGGTGGGAATGGGTCGGATAGGTTTCGGGTCGACCTTGATTGAGATTGGATCTTTCTAGGTGTCTACTTAGATCTAGACTTAGGTGAACCGACCCATGACCTACGGGTTAGGTTCAGGCCTACGAATAAAAAATCGTTATAAAAAATTATTGCACGCAAGACACTACAATATTTTTATCTTAATGTTTTACCTAGTTGGATTAGGTTGGGTTGACCTTGAAGGACCTGATCTGACCGATAGGTTCCAAGTTGGACCTGCACTTGGACCCGAGCCAAGTCAAGATGAGGTCATGTGGACCCATAGTTGAACCGTTGGGTCCATTGCCTGAGTCTGGATCAAGGGCTGGTTGGTCCATGGGTTTGATCCGACCCATTTCCCACCCCTACTGCCATTTACTCCCTTGGATAAAACCCTTTCAAGAAATTTTTGTTAAGACCTCAAACTTTAGGGGTGTAACCTCCTCAACCTTCTACCAATCCTAAAAAAAGAAAAAAAAATAAATTGAACAAAATTTTTATGTGCATTAAGGTCTGTCCTAAAATTTAACAAAAGGCATGCAAGTTTTTTGAATGGTCAGATCCAAGTGCTTTAGGAACTCTAAATCTTTTTACTACTTTATTTTGAAAATACTCGATTCTGAATGGATTCCCTCTTGAGTAGCTTTTCTAAAAAGGGTGTGGTTTGTCTAAGGCAGAGGCTCTAAACAATCAAATTAACACTTTCAAATAGTATCTAAAGGTATTGTTCAAGTACAAGAAATCTTTGTGATGGTTTGAAATTTTATTTTCATCTCTAATTTTACAATTTAAAGTTTAAAGAATAGCGTAGATCGAGCAGATCTAAGAACTCTTGAAAATTGACGGTCCAAAAATGCATTACACGATGTATTTTCAAAACTTGAAATCCATTTTTTTTCATGTCCATGTATCTTGAGATTGAGATGATCAATTTGAGAGAGAAATTGGACGTTACTGGCAAATTTAGTGGGATTACGCCTCGAAAACTGGAACTACATTGGAGCGGGAAATTGGACGTTACAGGCAAATTTCTTCATTGAAACAGCAAGCATTAGGAGTTTAAAGTTCATCGTTTTAACAGAAGCAAGTGTGCCCTCAATTCAAACTGTGCTTTCTGGAAAATTGCCTTATAATATGACTTGAAACTTTAAGGTTAAGCAAATCCGTTAAACAATCCACAAGATCTGGATGATGGAAGGGCGCACAAACACTCTTTCAAAAGCCATAGTCAATGGCCAAAAAATAATATTTTTTGTTATTTAAAATTATATGTATTTAGGGCGTATTTCTTTTTTTTTAATATGGTTCTCCAATTTAAAATAATGAAAAATGTATTGAAATTTTTTTTTTGACCAAAATACACCTTGATTTTATGGGTATTTTGGTCAATTTTTTATTTAAAATATTTTTTATTAATATTTTACATGGTGCAACAAATAAAAATAAACCTATACGTTAAATTTTAGACAAATATAACTAATAAAAAATAAATATATTTTAGGGCTCGTCCAAGTGCAATTTGAATCATCGAAGGGTACTTGTGCATCATTCAAGCGTCCATATGCCATACTATCATTTTTAGATTTGGTGATCTTGGATGGTATGGATGAACTGATTCATGTAAAGTACACCGTCAAAAATTTTCACCCCACCATATGTTGTCTTTTTTTTTTTCGTTTTTGTTTCATTTTATCCTAATAATTCCAACTAATTAAGCAAAAAGTTAGATGACACGGGAGTAGAGTTTCGGATTCCATGATCAAATCATGATAAGCTAGAATTACTAGAAATTAAAGTTCCCCACTCCAAATTGATAAGTACTTTTACACCATAAAAGCAACTACTTAATATTCAATATTTAAAATTGAATAGAATTCCACTTTAGAAATATTACATCACTATTTTTTTAAAAAAGATTGAATGTTTAAACAATTAAATCCAAATTAGACGTAAATCTCAAGATGTTAGTTTTGAGAAATTTACTCTAATGTTCCTCTAAATTACGATTATTTAAGAAAACCCATCGTTTGGTTTCACTTTTATACCCTATTTTTCTTTTAGTTTTTCTCAAATAACCCCCTAATTCATACCTAAAAAATCTGAAGTTTAATGTTCCAAATATGTAAAATTGGGTATTCTACTCCTCAATAGTTTGATTAAGGGGTGCAAAATTCAATGCATTGCAACCGTAAAACTAAATATCTCGAGTGAAAAGCATCACATTTGTAAAATTTGGTCCAATATTTTGATTGAGAGAGAGA